CCTCTTCTTCCTCCTCATCATCATTATTATCATCACCATATTCATCTCTTACTGCCCAATCAGGCAGATTATCTGGTTGAGGAGCCATCAACATATATGAGCTTCGGCGGTGATGTTTGGAATTAAATTGCACAGCTGTATTAAAGACACTATGCAACAAATTGGTTAACTATTAAAATAAAAAGAAAAAATCAACATGCAAATAACAAATTAATTAAATTAGTATTCCTCTTATCACCATTCGACTGATGTTCAGTATGTCAAATGATATGCTATGTATATCATTTGACATACTGAACATCAGTTGAATGGTGGTTGAATTTTTGCTAGTGTAACAAAAAAAAAAAGTTTTATATCTTTTTTGACCTTCAAGCCAAGCCATGGATGTTAATATACAGATGACCTCTTTTATTCATTTCTTTACCAGGGTCTGACATCTCAGGTAAATGGATGTCATTATTGGCTAAAACTTTAGTAAATTTGTCCATATCATAGTCGAAAAGTTGATTGTCCTTTTTTGAATAAAGGTACTTAAACACTGAAGCTCGCCGAAATATTTTCTGTAAAATTAAATCAAAATATTAAAAACTAAAATTTTGTAAATTATGAATTAAAATCGACCTAAATTTAGTTGGTCGATTTTTTATAACTTAAAATCGACCTAACTGAATTTAGGTTGATTTTAAGTCATAATTTATAATATATATATATAACTCATACATTATCTCTTTAGTAGTTTTCATAGATCTATTTATTGAAATGTATGCTTCGGGTTGGATCCCGACGTATACTCAGATATTATAAGTGATTTGAGATGCTGTCTCAACATATTGGCCAACTCAGTCAGATTAGTGCCATATTTTTCACCCAAAAGCTCAACTAATATAGAGATCATATTTTGGCTTAGTCGATCTTTTTGTTTATTCTACTTTAACTCATAATTAAGCTCAAAATCTCCACCTCTTTCATTGAGAATAAGAAAGAGTTCGGTCTATTAATAATAAATTAATTTTGATTTAAAAAAAATAAATATAAATATATATTAAATATAATTAGTACAGTCAGACCTCATTATAGTCACTCTTGATATAGTCACAACCTTATTATAGTCACACTATTTCTTAATCCTAAACATTATAAAATATATAAATTTGACCTTAATATAGTCACACTTTTTTATAATCACCAAATATTTGTTTCCTAACCTGGTGATTATATCGAGGTCTGACTGTATTTGTAATTTTTTTTATTATTTTCATATATATTTTTTCATAGAGTGTATGTACTATTCGATATTAAGTAGAAATAGCACATATGTATGTGCTATTTATACTTAATATTGAATAGCACATATGTATGTGCTATATGATATTAAGTAGAAAATAGCACATACGTATGTGCTATTCAATATTAAGTATAAATAGCACATACATATATGCTATATGATATTAAGTATAAATGCATATACTAAGGTGCTATTTCTACTTAATACTAAATAGCACATACATATGTGCTATTTCTATTTAATACTGAATAGCACATATATATGTGATATTTAATATTAAGTAAAATTTTTACAACTTAGATCACAATGAATATCTTCAAATTCGATGAAGTTTTTTTAATTTAAATTCTATGAATCATAGAATTCAAATAAAAAAAAACAATCGAATTTGATTAAGAATTTGTCAAAATATATTCGCTCAAAATTCACATTAATGTTCATTTTAACACATTTACATATAATCTTTTATTTATTTTACTTTTTATTATTGCTAATTTTTTTTAAGTTAATAAATTATTATAGAATATTTTTACTTAAATTATTACAAGATTAATTAAAGACAATGAAAAAAGCACCGAAAAAGCAACAAAAAATGCACCAAAAAATAATTAAAAAAGCCACAAAAGCATTAAAAAACTGATGAAAGAAACACTGAAAAAGCGAACCAAAAAAGCAAACCGAAAAATGATGAAAGAAGCACCAAAAGAAATAATGAAAGAAGCACCAAAGAAACAACAAAAAAAGCACTGAAAGAAATGCTGAAGCACTAAAAGAATGAAGAAAGAAGCACTAAAGAAAACGACGAAGCACCAAAAGAAATGACAAAGAGCACTGAAAGAAACAACGAAAGAAACACCAAAAGAAATGACGAAAGAAGCACCAAAAAAAACAATGAAAAAACACCGAAAGAAACACAAAGCACCAAAAAAATGATGAAAGAGCACCGAAAGAAATGACGAAAGAAGCACTGAAAGAAATAATGAAAGAAGCACCAAAGGAAACGATAAAGCACCAAAAGAAATGACGAAAGAAACACCGAAAAAAAATGATGAAAGAGGCACCAAAAGAAACAACAAAGCACTAAAAGAAACGACGAAGCACCCAAGTGAAATGACAAAAGTAGTACTAAAAGAAATGAAGAAAGAAGCACCAAAAGAAACAACAATAGAAGCACCGAAAGATATGACAAAGAAGCACCGAAAAAGCTATAAAAGAAGTACCAAAAATCGATGAAAGAGGAACTGAAAATTGACAAAAGAAGCACTGAAAAAAACTTCTGAAAAACAACGAAAGAAACACCGAAAAAAGTGATGATAGAAGCACTAAAAAATGATGAAAGAAACACTGAAAAAAGTGATGAAAGAAACACTGAAAAAAAGCAACAAAAAAACACCAAAAAAGTGACGAAAGAAACACCAAAAAAGCAACAAAAAAGGGAAAGAAGCACTGAGAGAAGCACCAAAAAAGCAGCATGCTGAAAAAATTGGTTTGTTTATTTGTTTATCTTAATCATGATTGGCTGCTTAGAATATTCTAGATTGCAGATCAGTGAAAATCTGTCAGTGCCACGGGGTAGATCGGCAGATGGCATAGCTAAATTTTTTTAGTAATTTTGCCACTGTGTCTCAAAATATTATGTGTCTAAATTGTTTTTGGTTGCCGAAATTATTATTGATTGCCAAAATTATAGTGGCTGCCTATATTATTATCGACCACTGATATTATTATAGACTATCGATATTATTATACGCTGTTGATATTATTGTATTTAAAAGGCTTTAATCTTATTAAAATTTATTATTTTATTTATTCGTATTCACTTTATTGTTACATTTTACCAAAAACTTTTTTAATATTAACATTAAAAGATTGTTTTCAAGAGTATCATCTATTATAAATTAAGCACCCTTTTGCCATATAAAAAATGTTGGTCTGTGTTTATTATTCCATGTTTTTTTCATGAATATTTCATTTTCATGGAATTTATAACCTTACATAATGAAAATTTTCATCTCCCTAACACAAATATCTGTAAATATATCATTTTCATGGAATTTTTATAGAGGCCATGGAGAAATAATGGAAAAATTCAGATAAATTTTTTTTATTGAGTTGTTGTAAAAATTATATTCCTCAAAAGTTAATAAAAACTAATATCTAGAATAATTGAACAATTTTTAAATAAAGTTATTACTTAATATATACTGTAACTTAAGTCTCAAATAATTTTTTATAACCTACAAGTAACTGAATTTGATATTGAATATTCTCTAATAATTATTTCTTCTGAGATTTGAACAATAAATATTATATGATTTTTCTAAAATAATTGATCAAATTTAATTCATTCTTAGCATTCTTAAGAAATAAAGTTATTACCTGATATGTATATATTGTAAAAAACATATCAAATATTGTGATTATTATATAGCTAATATTAAAATAAACTTAACTATATTAATTACACGGTTTCTCAATCAGAATTTGAGCAAGTTATGGAAAAAATTACATAAATATGGTTGAGTTTGATGATGCTATGTATATTTACTAGGTTAAATACTGAAAGTCAAAATCCTAGTGTTCCTATCCATTATCTATTCATCCATTTATTCATTAGATATTCATAATCTATTATCTGAAGTATTCTATCCAAATTTGTCAGATATTCATTTATTATTGATCTTGGTGAAAAAATCGGCTAAAAGCAAATTATCGGCTTAGTCAGTTGATTTTTTTAAAATCGCTAATCGATTTTATTAGTAGGATTATAGCATTCGAATTGAGTCTAAAATATGAGGGTTGAGGCCAAAAAATTTTCAGTAAAGTCTGAATTAAATGATGTAATTTTACAGCTGTTTTCATAATTCCTGGAATACCCGCTGGCTGATCCGGTTAATTTATTATTTCCGTACAAATGTAGCAATTTTTATTGAATCTATTTTTATTATGCCAAAATAGTAAATTAACTAGATTGACCAAAAATCATTAGGCTAATTTTTTTACAGGTGTCTTAGAAATTATGAAACAGCTGTAAAGTTAGCTAAACTAGCTAAGCTAGTAGATTTATCAGCTTTGTCATAGCCAAAAAATTTTGATCGCCAAAAATCACTATAATTATTTGACAGCTGTTTTCACATATTCGGTTATAATTTAAGATCAGGTGACTAGTTTAAAATCTCTATAAAAAATTTTTTTTAAAATTATTCAGAATGGTGTTGATTTTTCGAACAGGGGTTTATTCTTATGCTGTTTTTATTATAGGACATTAAAATAGAGAATGCTTAATTAAATGCTTATCGTACAAAAAATGTATAACATCCAATAACCATCCTGTAAATATTGTAATGAATTAAAATTTTATTTTTTATATTATTATAAATAATTCCTTTATTTTCTCAGTAAAATACTGCATGTACATAGTTTATTAATAATTCCCCATCCATTTTGGTAACAATGTCCAATTTTAGTATATCTATTAATTTCTTTTGATTATTTCATAACTTATATTGAAATGGTAATGATGAGTGGCTTAGTAATATGGAAATCAGATAAATTATATAAACACTGAAAAAAATCACATATATGTGATTATACAAAGACTGTGCCTTGAGATCTTTTAGTGTGTACTTTATTTTTATGGTGTATATATCGTGCGTCAGATTCGGAGAGGTGTAGTTTTAAATTGAGTTTTGTTAGATCAGAATTTAAATCCAAGATGTGTCAAACTAGTTCATCATTTATGTGTCAAACTCAAATATGCATAACAAATATAATATGTAATATTATATAATAAAATTTTTTTGTTTTGCCTTTTTTCTTGCAATAAATACATATTCATACTGAATTAAATTACTATGGAGTATTCATCTATTTCATGGCAAACCTTCAATGACTTGGTTAAAAGATATATTAAAAATTTAGCACCAAATAAGAAAGAAAAGGCACTGATAGATTAAGAAAAACTACAAAAAATTAAGAAAGATCTTCTTGATCCTACAAATACTATACTTTATACTTCAACTTTTCGTTATTGGGCTAAAAATAAGTTTAAATTACAAAAGATCAGTGATTCTTATATTGTACTCCATATTTGAAAACAAAATAAAAAAAAACAATAAAAAAATCATCATTGAACTTTCTGTATTAGTTATAGAAAATATGTATAATGAATTTTGCAAAATATATATCGTAGCAAATAGAAATATTGTTGACAAGATCTTATAAAAAGTTTGTAACACAATATAGTATTAGCACAACAAGGTTAATAAGAGTTCAATCATTAGCCGGGATCCCATTTATTGAATGTTATGATTACAAGTAAATTTATTATTATTAATTTATTTTTATTAATATTAATGTCATGGTGACGACCAACACCCCTTGTATCGGTATTGCTAGGGTTAGGTATGATCACGGGTTACCCGATCGTAACTGGGTAACGATAATGGCGTGATTCAGATTTGCATAAGTGGAGTGATTCGAATTTCGCATAATGCATGAATTAATTAAAAGTCTAATCTAGTGATAGTCTAATGCGTGTAACCCAGATAAACATATATCCGAAGATAATCTTTGTATTTAAATATAGCGATCTTGATAATAAAGAAGAGGATTTGGCTTTCGAATAAGTTTTAGCTTAGTGAAAAATGTTCTAAAGGAAAAACTGTGTGGTCAACATCGTAGTATATTGGTGGTAGTACCTGGAACGATACTCCAGACTGCGTGGGAAGCCAAGCGAGGAAAATTCAAGGTTAAAGAAACAAAGACCCCGTATAACTGCAATTGGCTACGACAATTAATTCATTTATAATTATCATTGTAATAAATTTTTATTTAAAATAGATTGACTTAGTCGACATGACTTTTAAACATGACAATCAATTTAAATATATTGCTCATATACATGATCATTTTACAAGATACTTCTGGGCCCATGCATTTACTTCAAAGCAAGCAGTAAAAGTGACAATTTTTCTGTTTGAGATTTTTACCACCTTTGAACCACCACTGATCCTTCAATCAGATAATGAGAAAGAATTTGTTTCTACAATAATTATTGAATTAATTTATTTATGATCCATGATTCAAATCATTAATGGTAGATCAAGACATCCTGCTAGTCAAGACTTGGTGGAGCGAGCAAATAAAATACTTGAAGTAAAACTAGAAAAATGGATGGAGGATAATAACCATCAAGATTGGTCATTCAGATTGAGATTTGTGATTTATTCAATAAATATTTCAATTTGTAGAGTGCATAATAAAAACCATATGAGCTTGTATTTGGTGATATTTCATATATAATTCTATAGCACTTGATCACTTATTTGAAACAAGTATTCTTTTTGAAAATTAATATTTAGACCAATTTGGGTTAAAAAATATTCAAGAACTGATTACTGATTTAGATGATTTATTTGATAATACTAATACTGATATTATATCTTTAATGAAAGACAATTCTTTAAGTAGATCAACAATTTTAAATCAAGATTTGGATCCAGATAATGAAAACCAAGAAACAGTAAATTATAATAATTCAGATCCAGATAAAGAAAGTCAAGAAACAGTAAGTTGTAATAATACAAAGTTACTAACATCCTACTTATTTGTTTATATGTGATCTATGATTAATAGAAATCAAACAGATTTATTAAAAAAATTTGCTTGATTTTATTAATCGTAGACCACATGAACAAATATTATACATATTGAATTTAATTTGTAACTTTTTTTTTGTATATAGTCATTACCATTACAAGATATATCTAATCAATCGTTAACAGGACATCAAGTATTACGAGACTTTGCTTGCCAAAATTTAGAAAATTATACAGCCAAAATGATATCTGCAATGATTGCAAGATCAAAGTTAGATTAGAATATGAAATTGGAGGTATATTAAATTCTTATCTCTAAAATTGATCAATTTGGTACAGATCGACCAATTCTTCTATGTAAAGTCTTAGAAAAGTTAAATTATAATGATACATTTAAATATCGCCTTGGGTGCAAAGATAGAATATTGAATAACTTTATTATGCTGGTGAGATGGAACCATTCAGTGTAAAAGAATATACGGAATTGGATAATATTCCTATATCTGTCAGAGAAGCAGTACGAAGTCAAAATACTGGCATGCTTATGGGAATGATGTGCAAGCGCAAAGGCAACTGTAATATGAATAAATGTCGTTGCAAAAAAATCTAATGTTGGGTGTGGAAGTAAATGCCACGGTGGAAAGCTGTGCAATAATAAAAATCATGTTGAATATATGTAGTGAATATATGTATTGAATAATTTGTATGATTATTTGAATTATCTGCTATTTTCTGCTTTATCGCTATGTATAAATTATTATTTTAGTTGGAAATTTTAATTTTACGCATCTCAAACTTAAATGTCGATTTGACGCAACTCGGTTTTAAACCTACGCCTATTCTAATTTGACGCACAACATATACACCCAAATTTCCACGTCTACGTTATATTTTCAGTGTAAACACCACAATTGCGGTGTTTACATTCCTAAAAATTAAAATGTATTTAAAGACCTACAATTCCAAGCAGTAGAAATGAGAATTTGACAGTTATATTTTTATGATTAATAAAGAATAACTTTTGGATAACTTTCCATTACCACAAAATAATAAAATATATACTTATCTGAATATTCCCTTGCATATTTCTTTGAGTTCGACTAGTAACTTTAATAAACCCTCTCGAGACTCAATTCGACGGACTGAATTGATTTGTAACTTCGACTAGGCTTATTAAGACTCGGGTTCTAAAACTATTGTGGAATCAGATATTGCCTTTCACGTTCGTGACTTGCGAGAATTGTGGTAGAGAACGAGACTTACGATTGGTTATTCGACCTTGTTAATCACTCCCGTGAACTTAAAAGTTATCCCTGTATCACTTGATCATC